GGCCATTCTTCCAAGAGAAGGAACACAAAGAACATCTTGGCTGCCTTTCCTGACCAAAGTCCTCAAGGCCCTACTCTGAAGGTTTGGGAAAGCACATATCAGGAAAGCCACATCAGTATTTTATTGTGCTGTTGTTGCTGTCTCTCCACTCTGTATCCCATTGGGAATGTGATCCAGAATCCTTTTCATCAAGCCTTGAGCAGAATTCAGCAGCAGCTTTCTGAAACAATGCTGAGGTCAGCCTGAAGGCTGCTGGCCTGGCTCGTGCCAGTGACTGTCACACTCACCCCGAGAGCACCGCGCGCTGTCCCAGGCAATCCACCGACATCGCCGTCGCCTGTTGGAGACAAACACACAACAAAACTCAGTGATACCTGCCAGGTCAGCTGCTCAAACACACGGCTTTGGGGGGCAGCTCAGCAAAGCCTGCCAGCTCATCCCCCAGTTACATCCCCTTCCAATAGTACAGATGGATTACAGGGTGTAGTGGGTAATCTGGGACGCAGGACAGCACACAGCAAACATCTCTGTCACTGTAAACCGAGGACAAGACCTGGCAGACACCATCACAAGCACCAAGACCTTGCTCCCTTCTCCCCACTATGGCAATCACAGCTGCAGCCTTTCAATCAGCAGCTCTAATAATCTGTATTAATCAGCCTCTGCTCCTGCTCAGGAACTTTCTCAGTCTCTCTCTTTCATTGCAGGGTCAGATTTAATTATATACGTACTGGGAGACAGAAGTGCAACCATTTGTGTGTGGCTGGTCTCCAAAAATGAGAGATGGCCAAGAGGCATCAGAATTTACTTTGGCATTGCATGTACAGAAGGCTATAAGATAACTTAAGGGCCATTAGGAAAAAAAAAAAAGAAAAAAAGGACTGTTTGGATATTGTCTCCCTATCTTTGTTTAGAATGGAATTGGTTCATCATCTCCTTTAACTGCCAAGAGAATAAAGGAAAAATTTACTTGGAAAGCTGAACAGTTCAGCCTATAAACACAGATATGACTTCAATTCAGTTTTTAGCATTCACAGTACAAAATCAGAATATGCCCCACATTCTTCACAGTAACTGCTGTCATCTTCAAAGCCGCCTCTCTGAAGGCTCAGGATGTATCTCCTGCTGCTGTTCTGGATTTTAAGTGCTCTCAGCGTGGATGTAACAAGACTTCAGGATGTCCCACAGTTACTACTTACAAGCATCACTAAAACCTGACAGACAATACAGCAATCCCACTCCATTTCAGTCAGATTTGACAGTAAAACGACCATCACAAAACCTGAGATTTTTCAGCCAGGGCCCCATCCTCTCCTTGCAAGTACCCCAAGTGAGGGAAAAACAGCATCATGGGCTCATTTTTTACTAGAGTCCACATAGCAAAGAGCTACAATTGCTTGCAGAGTTTCAGCTGGAGCCCACTTTTGCCATTCCTGGAATGGCCCCCTTTCACTGCTTTTTCTTAGGTAGCAAATCCAGTCTTCTGGCAGGGTTTCCTTAGTCCTAAAACTAATGCTGTAAATAAGAAACTCTCTAAATGATCAAGAAACAATTTCTACTTTTTGGATTTCACAGCACCTTCCAAAACAACAAAGTGGGTTACTAAATCTGCATTAAAAAAAAAAAAACAAAAAAACAACAAAAAACAAACAGCAGGAGAAGGAACTTTTCCCAGATGAAACACATTTCACTTCTGAGGAATTAAAATAAGGATCACTAAAGCCATTAGTGGAACCAGAACTTTCTCCTGTGATGAAGAGCTAGTCAGGAGATATATTTCACACAGCTGTGGCCATCTTTCCTCAAGACAGAAAAAACCCATGTCAATTTAAAGTGATTGATAATTTCATGTGAGTTTATTTTTTCTGCTGCTGGCACCAGGATCTCATAAATCCTTACAAATTGTTTGCAATAATGAACACTGGTAAACTGGTATTTTTCCAGGCACCAAACATCATAAAATGTAATGAACAATTAGAATGAAATAAAAAGCTTCACATGTCAGGCTGCTATCCTGGTGGGTCATAAATGAAGTAATTTTACACCAACAGTTCCCTACAATACAAGTGACCTATATAGAGACATGAAAAAAGCCAAACAGCTGCCATTTAATGCTTGGTAGAGTGATATGTCAGTCTGCAGAGCACAACCCTCCAGAAGGGGGGAGTGGAAACGGAGCAAACCAACCTGAAAGCAGTTTTTATCCCAAAACCACACTGAGGATAGCTGGAATGGCTGTTCATGAATGACAATGACATGAGTAAGCACCGCAGGAGCACAGCACATTTGAGAACCTGCTCTGAGCCCACAGCCCAGGCAGCATCGTCTCAGACTTCAAACATCTACTTTGGCATTTCGCTTGATTTCTTCTAAGCAAGCCAAGGAAAAACACCTTTTCATGCCTGAATTTCCATTAGTTTTCAATCCAGCCTCATTCTCTCCACCTGAAAGCCAACAGACTAACCCAATTTGACAAGGCTATGCTGTTTTTCAAGAGCTGTAAACTCCTAGCAAGAAATACCAATTCCCTGTGTACCCAACTTACCATCCACACGCTGAGTACCTACAAATAGTTCTTTTTCACCGCTGGATGAGGTGAGCTTTACCCTCTGACAGTGCCAACAGCCTGAGAAGAGCCTGTGGGTCTTGTCTAAATCACAAGAGTAGGGAGGACTGCCAACTCTGCCAGCTTGTACAGAAAGGTGACACTTGTAGGCAACAGTGGCCCTGAGGCACTCAGAGATTTTCTGAAGTGTTACAGGTTGGGCGCTGTAGTTTTCTCGACACCCTCCAGAACAAAGACAACTGCGGTGCTTGCAGACATGTACTGGCTATAAATGTAACAGCTGCCCACTCTTTTGACTTGTTTCCATTTAAATTGGTTTTGGGGTAGGGATTTTGGATACAGTGTGGCCTATAGGCAGAACTCAAGCCTGGTACACGATTTCAACAAAGGTGTTCCGGTTTCTCAAAAACAGATTTCCCACCTGCAAAAATGTTCCCGCAGCCTCCTAAAAAAAGCTCAGACACAAATATATAAATGAGTTTAGGCTGAAGCAGCAGTCTGGCAGCCTCAGCCACAGAAGTTCTCTGGTTTCACAGGGAGAGCAGGCAGGTCAGGACGGCTCCAGAAAGATCACACTGGAGTGAACTGAAGGGATGGAACCAGCCGTGTTCACCCTCCGTCAAGGCTGGAGACTGAAACCAACTGCAAGATTGAAACCAACTGCTGCAGGAGGGCATGGAAACACTCATCCCCTCTGCTCCCACATGAGTAAGCAACAACATCATGAGGCCACATATCTCCTGAGCCAGATGCAACTTGAATCTGTTATCTAGGCATGTGTACCCTCATATCTCATTACTGGTTTCCTGAGGCCAAACCTTCAATAGCAAATGAAGCTGCTTTAACACTTCGAGGAGGACAACGAAACCGATACAAAGCTTTTGAGGTATAAAAGTGAAAAGCTTTGTGAGCTTACAGAGGGTAGGCTGGATGCAGCACACAGGATTCACTGCCCCTGTTTGCAGAAGTAAAGGCAGAGTTGCCACTGCTCCAGCATAAGAGGACATATGAGGTGATGAAAGAGCTTGCAGACCTACTTTTTAATCTTTCTGGGTTTCCTGCTGAAGCAGTTCATAGTTCATTCAATGTATCCAGCTTTGCTAAGCAACTGCCAATGTCTCAAAAAACCTCCATGTTTCTTAGAATAGAATCATAGAATGGTTTGGGTTGGAAGGGACCACAAAGCTCATCGCATTCCAACCCCCTGCCATGGGCAGGGACACCTTCCACTAGACCAAAGCCCTGTCCAACCTGGCCTTGCACACTTCCAGGGATGGAAGAACAGCTTCTAAGAGAGCATATAAACAAACTCTGAGAAGAGTTCTCCTGTCACCATCAGCTTCAAACCCAAAAGCTGACTTTTCTGCTATTTATAAAAAAAACATAACCCACTTTTCCTATTAATCGAGCAACACTCAGCAATTTATACGGCAGTGAGACAGTAGCTGCAACGTTCTCAGAGGAAAACTCACAGAGCCACAGAATGGTTTGGGTTCAAGGGACCTTAAAGCTCATCCCGTTCCAAGCCCTTCGTGGTTAATTTCATGTATGAAACATGAAGTTCCATGGGCAGGGACACCTCCCACTAGACCAGGTTGCTCAGAGCCCCCTCCAGCGCGGCCCTGAGCACCTCCAGGGAACGGAAAAGGGGAAAGACGTGTGGGAAGTGACAATATCTTCTATTAGGCCCGCCGACATACTTTAGAGAAACAACACGAAACCTATTAAGATTAGTAACTAAGCGCCCCGTGAATGAAGGCGTCATCTCCGCGCAAACGGCGCCAGGCCACCTCAGCCCCGTCCACCGCCGGCGAAAGGCCCCGCGGGGCCGCCGAGCCCTCCCGGGCTGGGACCTCCCCCCGCTCCGCTCGCCACGGGCCGGCCGGGGGGCGGCCCCCGCGGCGCGGTGACGCGGCAGCCCCCGGGCCCCCCGACCTGGGCGTCGCGGAACTCCACCACCACATTCTCGCTACTCCAGCGCGCCGCCATCTTGGGCCGCCCCGGCCGAGCCGCGCCGCGCCTGCGCACTGCGGGGCGCCGCGCGGGAGCTGCCGGGAGATGTAGTCCCGCCGCTCACCCCCGCACAGTCCCCTCGCCCCCGCCCCGGTGAACTGGGACCGCGCGTCCCGCGGGGGGGGCTCACAGCCCGGGGGGGGGGGTGCCTGCGGGACCGGCACCGCCGAGGGGCTCCGTCCGCGGCGGCCCGGGGGTGGTCGCGACCCCACCGCGGGGCGAGATGTTCGTGTGTGTGTGTGATGGGTCGAGGGCTGCGTTCCGCGGGGCAGCGCCCGCCGCGGCGGCGGCGCTCTCGGTGTGCCGGCGCGGGGAGCGCAGCGCCGGGCGGCGGCGGCGCAGGGGTTAAGGGCGGCGGGCCGGGGGGGCCGGGGGCGGGAGCATGCGTGCTGCCGGCCGCTATTGTCTCCGGCGCGGCGCCCGGCACCAGGCGGCGGCCGCAGCGAGGCCGTGCCCAGCGCAGCGGAGCGGGGCGCGCCGCCCCCGCCGCCCCCGCCGCCCATGGGCCGCAGCTGATCCGCGCCCGGCTCCCGGCCGCGCCCCGGGGCACCAGCGAGGCGGGCGGAGCGACCCGGCCGGCGGCCACCCCCCCCCACCCCCTTCCCCCGCCGCTCCCTCCCCGCTCCGCGGCCCCGGAGCCCTCGGCGGCCTCCGCCGGGGGTGACGGCGGCGGCGGCGGCGGACTCGGGGCGCCCTCGCCCCTGCGGGCCCGGCGGGGGGAGGATGCCTGGGGCGGGGATGGGTTTTCGCCCGTAGCTCCCCGCGCCCCCCCGCTTCCTTCCGCCCCCCTCTCGCCCTCCCAGCGGGGGCGGCGCGGCCCCGTTCCCCGCGGGGGGCTGTCGCTCGGCTCCCTCCGGCCCGGCGGCGCCCACATGGGGGGCAAGCAGAGCACGGCGACCCGCTCGCGGGGCCCCTTCCCGGGGGTGTCGACGGATGACAGCGCCGTGCCGCCGCCGGGAGGAGGGGGGGGGCCGCCCCCCTTCGGCCATTACCGGGCGGGCGGCGGCGGCGGCGCGATGGGGCTGCGCAGCCGCTCCGTCAGCTCGGTGGCCGGGATGGGCATGGACCCGGCGGCGGCCGGCGCCGTCCCCTTCGGGCTGTACGCGGCGGCGGCGCGGGCGGCGGGGGAGGCCGAGCGGGCCCCGGGCGGCGGCGGTGGCGGTCCGGGCTCCGACTCCACGTACGCCCATGGCAACGGTTTCCAGGAGACGGGAGGCGGTCACCATAGAGACGGGATGCTGTACCTGGGCGCCAGGGCCTCGCTGGCCGACGCGCTGCCCCTCCACATTGCACCGCGGTGGTTCAGCTCGCACAGCGGTGAGTGCCGGCTCCCCGGAGCCTTCCCCTGGCTTCCCTTCCCTCCGCGGCTACCCGAGGACGGCGGTGGGCGCCGTTCATCCGGCAAGGGGGAGCTGCCCCCATCTTGGCCGGCGGGTCAAGCCCCGTTGTGCCAACCCCCATCCCCTGCCTGGTGCAGGCGGGTGGGTGCGCGCCGGGGCTGGCATCTCTGTCAAGGTCAAGGGAGGAAGGGGCTGTGGAGGGAGGAGGCTTTCTAGAATGGAGGTGTTTTGGCTCGGGGACATGAAGCAGTGGATGTGACACACCCCACCCCTCCATCGACTTGCGGGAAGGTGGTCTGTGGGTGCTGTAGCTCAAGCCCTTGGTTTTGAAGACCAGGCTGAGCTCCTCATGCCTCTTTCCGATGGTGTTCGGGGGGTGCCAGTCAGGTATAGCAGTTCCTGTGCCTTAGAAACTGGTAAAGAGGCAGAGAAAGCCTCTGAAAGCGAGGTGTGGGGATTTTTTTTCCTTTGTTTCGTCTGATAAAGGGCCAGGCAGAGGCCAAAGCGTGTTTTCTCATTCAAGCCAGCTGGCACTGATGTGGTTGCCGGGGAGGAAGCAGAGGAGGAACTGCCTGCCTCTTTAACAGGGCTGGGGGGCCGGCTGGGCTGTCTCGCAGGAAACGTGTCAGGCTGTGGGAGGAGGAAAGGTTACCCCCCTTCACCCTCCTCGCTGGACCCTTCCGTGTGTCCTGGTGTCTGGAGAGGAGATCTGGCTGTGAGCAGGGCTGTGTCACTGACCTAGTTTTGTCTGGGTGCAGGGAGAGAGGTGGGAGGTCCTCTCTTCCCCTCTTGGCTAGAGGGGAAGTCATTTCAGGGATGTCTCCTTGCGTTTCCTGGAATAGTCTGGGATTTCTCTCCCACCTGTCCCCCTCACAAATGCTGTAAGTGTTCTCCTTGCATGACGTGGTCTGGGAATTTCATAATATGCCTTGGGACAATGCCTCATTTTCAGGAGGACCTGAAACTGAACCAGTGGACGAGAACAAAGTGCAAAATGAAGCTTGCGGGGCCCATTTTCCTGCTTCCATTTTGGGATTTTTCCCTTTTGCCCAGTCTCCAGGGGCTGCTCTTCTCCATTAGGTTGAAGCTGCATGTCTTGCATTGCATCCTCAGTGGCAGAACACTCCAGGCACGATTCCTATTGATCCAGATAAGCCGGATACTTGCTGTCCTCCCTGGCAGACGGAGAGGGGCTGGCATGCAGTGCTGGAGTTGAGACCAAGAGCTTCTGCAAACTTTCTTGCTCCGTGACCTTGCACAGACTGTGCTGCTGCTCTGGTTTTTAAACACAGAGAGAAACCAAGGCACAGCATCCTTCCAGGTATTCCACAAGCTTCTGTGGGAATAAGGGCCACGGGTCCTTCTGCTGCACCCGGTGCTGGAGCCTCGTTACAGCTCACGGGGGTCGGTCAGAGAGTATCAGTTACATTAAATGGTAGTTCTCAAACTGCAGTGCTGAGGGGCAGAAATCCTGTTCATAAAAATAAACCAGGTGCAAAATGGAGTAAGCTGTTCTCAGCCACTCGAGCGAGTTAGTGCGGTGCTGCTAAGTTAAACCTGGTGCCCTTGAAAGGTTGCAGTGTGGGCTGTGGGAAGTGCTGCAAGAACCAGATTTCTCTGGTGCCTCTTTTGGGGCCCTCTGAGAGCAGTTGAGCTGTGCCGGAGCGTGCGCGGGCAGCAGTGAGAGCCACTCAGTCCCTGCCGAAGCCTCTCCCTCGAAGGTTCTTCCTCGTTGCTAATTAATAGCAGAATGAGCAGAGGATGCTTAAAAACCCTCCTGAAAACTTGTCGGAGCATGTTAAACTTTTGCACTCTCCCTCTCAGTGTGAGAAGTTAATGGAGGGTTTGGAGACTGAGGGGAAGGGGGAGGTAAGCCACCTCCAGACTGCTAAAATTCCTGCTAATCTCCCGCTGCAGCTGGTTAACCTACAGCAGGGCAGTCAGGAGCCACTCACTCCTTCCCCCCTGCCTCCCCATCGACCTGCTCCTCTCGCAGCTCCGAGCCACTCCATTAGCCTCTGGAAAGTGCTGAAGCAGCAGTGCTCTGGTAAATGGAGAGGAGCTTTGACATTGCTGCGCGTGACTGTCCTGCTCCTTTGGAAGGATGACTCGAGGGTGGGGATGAGGGGACGCGCCGACGCACCAAACCCACTCAGCTGGATGCATGCCTGGGGATCCTGGGGATCTGCCTGAGTTGCTGTATTACCAAGGAGAGGAGCCCCCCAAACTCTGTGGCTAACAGGGCTGGAGGGTGGCTTCTTGCCCTGCCAGCCCCTTTCTGGATACCTGGATGGTGTCGATCTCTGCGTGTGGGGAAGGTCGTGTTCATGGGCTTGTTCTTCCAGGAGCATTTGGGTTTGGGGGATGAGCTGGGAGCCTCAAAGTGCAGCATGGACTCTGTGGGGACCTCAGTGGGACAGCAAGGAGCCTTGGCTTAACGGCCCTGATAAGGTGCTGTGGTGGCGGCAGCGTGGCTGCAATAACGGAGCACACGGATAGGCTGGGCACCTCGCCGCCCCCTTTTTCTGGGTTTTTGTGCCTCTCCAGCTGCTTCATGGCTCCTCTGGCCCCTCAGCAGGGACCCCAAGGAGTGAGCTGGGGCAGGCTGAGGTCTTTTCCCTGGCTGGTGTCACTCCTTCCCCTCTCTGCAGTTGAAGGCCTGCAGAAGAGCTAGGTGTGCCTGGGGGGGGGAGAGGGGAAGCCTGTGCAGAGGCTGAGGGGAACCCATTGCTGAATCCCTCTGGACACTACTGCGGCTGCCGGGATGGCAGGAGCAGTTAGATACTGATGGTCTCTAGCCCTTACCAGGACCGGGGGAGAAGAACTGCTACTCTAATGAACAGCAAAGCCTACATGTGTCTTCCAAATGCAGTGGGCAAAGGGCCCTGACCTTTGTGGTGGAGCTTGTCCCTCCCTCTGAGTGGACAGCACCTCCCTGGGTAAGTGAATGCTGTTTCCTGGAGGGGATTTTCCCAGGCGTGTCCACCATACACACCAGTGATGTCACTGTTCCAGCGCCACCTGAAACTGCTCTGGGATTTCCCTGTCTGCCCAGGGTTCCTGAGATCCACTTCCTGGCCTCTGAGTGGAAGATGACAAAACATCTTGTGCAACTTTGGAGTTTGCTTGTAGCACTTGACCCTGTCTCTTAGCTTTGTAACCACTAGACTCGGTAAAGCCAAGGCTAGTGGGAAGAAGGCAGAAGAGGGAGATGTGTGGTTTAATGCTGCATGTCTCCAGCTTTGTGTGGTTCTCTTAGTATCACTCGTGTTACTCATCTTCATCAGAAGATCTCAGGGAGTTTGCAGAGGCTGTAAGTAGCTTAAAGTTTATCTGGAAATCCCACTCATCACCCAAAGCCCTTGAGTGTTTGAAGCTCTAATAAATCCATATCTTCTTGTCTGCTGGCTAGCCCAAGGAAATGCCTAGCTCATCCTTCTGTACAGTGTCACCAGGAATGTCACAGGCTTTCTGTGTACCGACAAAGCAGGCTGTTTGCCCTGGATGCTGGTGGCACCAATATCAGGAGGTCTTCTTTGCCAAATGAGCTGCTGCGTTCTTGGCAGCGCTTTCCTGGAGCAGGAGGGCCCAACCTGGGGGAGATGGAAAGGTTTTTGGTGCAGAGGTGGCAGCCAGGGTGGTGCTGGGCTGGGGCCTTCTTCAGGCAGAGTTAGAGAACAAAAGAAGCTGGAAATGCTCTTCCATCCAACTCTAGAGTATGGGATAGGAAATAGGAGTTGTTTGGAGGATGAACTGGGGAGAGGCCTCTCTGTGGTGAACCCTTGCTGTACCCTGATAGCTTCAAGTCACGAGCCTTTTCTTGCTGGTGCCTGGAAGCTGCTGGAGGGAGTTACTTCTCAGCCCTGACTTTCCTGACACCAACTTGTCACCAGTGTGCCCTGGCAGCCAAAAGGGCCAACTGTGTCCTGGGGTGCATCGGGCACGGCATCGCCAGCCGGTCGAGGGAGGTGATTGTCCTGCTCTGCTCTGCACTGGTGCAGCTTCACCTTGAGTCTTGTGTGCAGCTTTGGGCACCACAATATGAGAAACACATTAAGCTATTAGAGAGTGTCCAAAGGAGGGCCATGAGGATGGTGAAGGGTCTGGAGGGGAGGCTGAGGGCATTTGGTCTGCTCAGCCTGGAAAAGAGACTGAGGGCAGAGCTCACCACGGGCTGCAGCTTCTCTGCTCTCTGTGACCAGTGACAGGACCCGAGGGAACTGCTGGAGCTGTGCCAGGGGAGGGTTAGGTTGGATATTAGGAAAACGTTTTTCACCCAGAAGGTGGTCAGGCACCAGAACACACTCCCCAGGGCAGTGATCATGGCATAGAGCCTGGCAGGGTTCAGGAAACATTTGGACAACGCTCTCAGGGACGTGATATGGTTCTTGGGGTTGTCCTGTGCAGGGCCAGGAGTTGGACTCGATGATCTTTGTGGGTCCCTTCCAACTTGGGCTATTCTATGATTCTGTGAATTTTTCAACATGCAGACAACACGTATGCTTCCCTACCCACTTCCAGGAGCTAGGCCAGGGGAAGGGTACCCCAGGGTCTGCAGGAACTATTTTTGCTAGTGGAAATTTCCAAAGATGACTGTCCTCAAACCACCTTTTTGTGGGTTTGGTGCTGGTGACTGTCTGGCAGCCGAATTGAGCGCCTGCATCATCGCCAGGCCTGCAGATCATTTGGGAATTGGGTGCAGGAGCGATCCTGATGACTCCCCATGCTGATGATATTCAGCTATTGGGCTCTCCAGCTCTTCTGCTTCTGCCTTCTCTGAGCCAGCTGCCAAGGCAGCATACACCCGGGACAGGGGGAAGAGGCAGCAGCTGCCTTGGAAGGGTGAAGTGCTGAACACCAGAAGACTCGAAGGCAGCTCTAAGGCACACCAGACCCCGAGATGAAGTTGGAGTGTGCCAACGTCAGCGCTGTGCGTGAGGAGCTGGTGGTGGCTATGGTCATCCTCAGTCTCCACAG